TGTAATTTTCCCTGACGGATTACTGCTAGTGGCTAATATTGCTCTTTTCCTGTTGATGTTACTATTGATTCTGTTGCTACTACTATTATTATTGTTTCTGCTACTATTACTATAATAATAGTTATTATTATTTCTTTGCCCTATGCATGGTTTCACTCCAGTAAAATCATTAACAAGGGACACCCACACCAAAGCCCAAGCAATCTCGGTATTTTTGGTATTGGTACATATTTTTGAAATGATTCAGATTCCAATTTATAGCACTGGCAGTCAATAATGAAGCGTCGTCGCAAAGCTATTTTGGTATCATTTGGCTCTGTGGCGCAAAGTGTTCTTATGCCGCCTGATCTGAAGCGAGCTTTTTTGCACGCATTTCACCAATTCCCGGATGTAACGTTCGTGTGGAAGTATGAAAACGATGAGGACCGGATTGCACAAGGGCAAGACAACGTCGTTACTGCAAAGTGGCTGCCTCAAAATGAAATTTTAGGTAGAGTTGAACTATTTTTAGACAAAATGCAAACTTAGCACTCCTTCAAAGGATAACCTATGGATTCTGAATGTAGTCTGTACTGCTAGCATACACTTTTGCGCTGCATTCATGCGCTCGTGGCAATTTTTTCCACTTAACTGTCATCATCTTGATTACACATTACAAATAAATAGCGGCTTGTAGCAAAAGGTCGAAGCGACCGTACGTGGACTGAAAATCGTAAGATTTATAAAATAAAATTTACAGAGTTTGGATTTGAATTCGTGGATGAGGGCATAACAAGTCCAGTCCTTGGATTCATGTTTCTGCCTCGAACTCCCTAATTGGTTAATCTGTCAAAACTTGCACTGACGGCTTTTTTGACAACATGTTCCGCATTTTCGGTAGACTCGGGATGTGATCCTTAATCAGCATGCAGCAGTGTTTGGAATTTTATTAGAGGCTATTTACTTCAAATCCCATAACGAATTAATCTTTGAAAAAAATTTTTAGTGTAGTCTTTGAATTATAAAGTCATAAAATTAACATATATTTGGACTAGTAGTCGTGTTGCAAAACATAGTGACAACTGTAACCTGATTTAGATTTAGGATAAAAAGTATGTGTGTTTCAAAACTTTTACTTTTATGCGTTTTGATCTGCGCAACAGCTGTATAAAAAAATGCATATTGTCACGGGATTGTCTGTGTTAGTGTCCGGTGCATCTTGTCCGCAACTTTCTACTTGAGAACCGCAAAAGCTAGAAAGCTATGACCTCGTAAAGCAACGTTCAACTTAGAAAACAGAATGTTCTCCACCCATTTGTGACCCCGTAAGTTTAAATTCAGCCTTTCCATGCTCGCGGGTAACGCGTAGTACCCCGTAAAAGCTTTGACGGAGAAAATTATTATCTCGAAAACTACGGAGGCTAGGAAGCTTAAATTCCACGTAATTTTAATTTTAGATGTGTGTTTATGTAAAATGTAAGGGTTTAAAAGCAAGGGAATAAAAGGAAGGTGAATAAGATAAATCGGAATAAAAAAAAATTTTTTTTCGCGGAAGTTA